TTCATGATTGTAATTTTTTTCCCCATTGGATATTAGTTTCACTGACACTGAACTGAGAGCACATTTAATATAAAAATAGATGACAATTCAATTCTAGAATTATTCAAATTAAACTGTAGAGTTTGTATTTCTAAGTGTGGTGTTGAAGAATAAGCACTGGATTGCTAGCTACAAATTCGGCAGTTCAAATCCACCAACTGCTCTATGGAAACCCTGTACAGAGTCACTATGAGTTAGAACTTAGTTGTTGGAATTTAACAACAACAGCACATATTGCATTTATGAAAATGAATGCTACTGTAAAAAGTGAAAAATAAAATAAAGGAAATAATATACTTTGAGTAGTTTATTGCTATTTTTGTGTTGTTAAATGTCATGGAGTCAGTTCCAACTCATGGTAATCCAATCTGCCTAGGGTTTCCAAGTCTTTAAATCTTTGAAGGAACAGAAAAAGCCTCATCTTTCTCCTGTGAAGCAGCTGATAGGCTCACCAATTTTGTGGCTCGTAATCCAATGTTTATAATATAGAGCTACCATGCTACTGAGTAGTGTATTAGGACATATCTATTTCAAATATTTGCCTTGCTCTCTTTGAATACCCAAAATTTTAAAAAACAAAAAACAAATGAAAGGCATTAACATGTTTCTCTTGATCCAGTTAATATCAAAATCGTATCTTACCTTGATAACAAGGAGCTATTCTTTTACTCAATTCTGTTCGTAAGTCAGAGGGCATTCCATAGCAAACACCAGTGGGGAGCTTATTTTCTGTTTTTATGTAAAATATATTTTTCCATCTATGCCCACAAGTCTGAATAAAATATAAAAGTAAACTAAATGATGAGAGAGTCACACCCAGAATGTCTGATTTCATGATGTTAAGAGGAGCCCAATCCCAATACTCACCACAATTGATCCATTTTCTCCAGGCTGTCTGGAAAGCGTGACCCCCAACCATTGATTATCTCTATCTTCCAAACAAGTTTTTCCACAAGGCTCTCCATGAGGACTACCTACAGCATTAGAAAATGAGTTACCATCAGTTATCTTGAAAACATTGCTATTCTACAATAGCAGAGACAATAAATTCAAGTACTAATCCCCAAGGTTTTTCCTTTAGACATACATGTAATCCTCTGTCTCCTGTCTTTACCACCATCTTATATTTACCATACAATGAGGGGTAACTGTGAGTTATTCTGTGTCAACACAACTGGTCTCTTCTACAAGGTCATTTTTGTTTGTAGAAATGATCTCTGATTGGTAACTACATGAACAAATGGCATCAGTGACACAGAGAGCTAACTGATATGACTAGCAACAGGGAAACCACCATAGCTCACTGTGATCACGTTAAATCTGATTCATAGTGCCCCTGTAGAACAAAGGAGAACTGCTTCATAGGGTTTCTGAGACTGTGAGAAGCGTTACAGAAGTAGACTGCAAATTCTTTCTCCCTAGGAATAGCTGATGGGTTTTAACTGTTTTGTTGACCTAACAGCTAGCAGTTTAGTGTTAAGCCACTGAGTCACCAGGGCTCCTTAAAATCAACATAAATTGTCCAACTATGACTGGGTGTTTAATACTTAGAAAAGAACATGTATCTTTGTTTTAACCCTTTATCTAGCAATTAAGCAACATTACCAGAGTGTCTTTTCTAAAGTTTCTTGTATTGAAACATTATGAGGAGGAAAGCTACTACATGGTTTTCAAAACTTAAGGTTTAGTTTATTGGAATTGGAAGGTGATAACTGCACAAGCAGAATGTACAATGAGCATAGTGATAATATCTAGTGTTTAAAACAATCTGTCTTCTATTTTGAATTTAATTGATTGAGGTGTGGCGCTGTGGGCTAATGCATCAGACTGCAAAGTCATTTGAACTGCAAGGTCAGTGGTTCAAACTCACCAGCTGCTCCTTGGAAACACTATACAAGGTCGATATGGGTCAGAATTGACTCGACTGCACTTAACAACATGTTTTCAACAACAAAAAACAATCTGAAAACACCAGATTATTTTAGTAGTAAATCAAAAGAAACAAAGCTACAGCAAGCATTTTAACAAGTACAACAACATCCAGAGAGCCAACCATTAAGTAAATATTACTCATGCACAATATAGTACTTCCAAGCTGTATGATCATCTCAAGAACAGATGTGATGCATTAGACACTAACGTCTGAAGACCAGGAGAGCTGTGGGATGAAATCAGGAACATCATACAGGAAGAAAGCAAAACGTCATTAAAAAGACAAGAAAGAAAGAAAAGACCAAAATGAATATTAGAAGAGACACTGACACTTGATCTCCAGCATAGAGATGCCATAAAGTAAATGGAAGAAATGAGGTAAATAGAAAATTTCAAAGGGCGGTTCAAAAAGATAAAAATTAAGTAGTATAATGAAATACGCAAAGCCCAGGAGTTAGAAAAACAAAAGGGAAGAAAACACTCAGCAATTCTCAAGCTGAAAGAACAGAAGAAAAAATTCAGGCCTTGATTTGAAATGTTGAAGGAATCTTTGGCAAAATATAGAATGATGCTGAAAGTTATATCACCGGTATTGTAAATAGCAACAAGGTTACCCATGATGGATAGGTTTCAGTGGCACTTCCAAACTAACACTGACTAGAAAGAAGGAGATACCACTTCTGAATGGCTACTCACAGAAAATCTATGTAAAGCAGAAGATGAGCCTCTCCGGTTGTTAAGGTACTCAATTTCACTAGGAAAGAACTGCTTCCTCAAAGTACAGTTGACGAGAAAGATGTAAATGCAACAGAGCTTTTGTGACCTTCATTTGTAGATGAGTCACAATTCAAAATGAGAAGAAACCACTGCAAACATCCATTAATAATCAGAGCATAGAATGTAAAAACCATGAAACTATGAAAACTGGAAGTCATCAGAAATGAAATGAAATGCATAAATATTGATAATCTAGGCATCAGTGAGCTGAAATGGACTGATTAGGCCATTTTGAATCAGACAATCATATGGTTTGCTATGCTTGGAATGACAAATTAAAAAGAAATGTCATCACATTCATCACTGAAAAAAATTCCAAGGTCTACCTTGAAGTATAATGCTGTCTGTGATAGGATAATATTCATATGCCTACAAGGAAGACCAGAGTCCTGGGGTGGCACTGTGGGTTAATGCGCTGGACTGCAAAGTCGCTTTGAACTATAACATTGGTGGTTCAGACTCACCAGTCTCTCACCAGAAACCCCATACAGGGTCACTATGGGTCAGATTTGACTCAACAGCACTTCACAACAACAACAAGGAAGGCCCGAGACCTGGTGTGCCACTGTGGGTTAATAAGCTGGACTGCAAGGTTGACTTGCAGTAGTTCAAGCTCAGCGGGCGCTCCTCAAAAACCCTCTACAGGGTCACTATGAGTAGGAACAGACTTGATGGCACTTAACAACAACAACAACAACAAGGAAGACCAGTTAATACCACTGCTCTTTCTTCTGTTCTCTCAGCTTGAGAATTGCTGAGCGTTTTCTTCCCTTTTGTTTTTCTAACTCCTGGGCTTTGTGTATTTCAAATTTACATACCACCCACTAAGGGCAGTGATGATGAAACTAAAAAATTTATAAACTTCTTCAGTCTGAAATGGATCAAACATGCATTCAAGATGCACTGATAATTACTAGAGATTGGAATGCAAAAATTGAAAACAAAGAGGAAAGATCAAGATATGATCTTGGTGATGGAAGTTATGCTGGAGACAGCATGATAAAAATTTTTTTTTTTTTTAACTTAGATGGCCATTTACAAAATTTTTTTTTTTCTTCTCTTTTTAAGTTTTTATTAGGAATTGAGTGAAAGTTTACAGGGCAGATCGATCATCATCAGTTTTGCTTTCAACAAATCATATACTTTGTTTCATTACACTCATTATAATCCCCTCCATGTACCATCAGTTAACAGTATTTCTCTCTATTCATTTTAGCTCCAGGCATATATAATAATTTAAACCACCAAAGGGCACATTCAACAAGCCTGCCTCTTGGCTGTCAGCTCTCAGTCCTTCTCGTCCATGAGTCTAGAGTTCTCAGCTGTTTCCTCTCTCCATGTCCTCATTTCTCCCTCCATCTCTGGATAGGGTCTTACATTCCACTTGTGCTCTTCTCCCTTGATGTTCCTAGGGTCCTCTGTTTCTGGAGTATAAGAGTAACTACTCCTACATTTTTGTTACAAAACTTCTACCTTTACAATTATGACAGTTGCAATTAGTCATGATAACAGTTACTCACTATTGAATCGTAAGAATCCTATCCCCATCTCTTTTTACCAGACCTATCTAAACAAGATGAGAACTATTCAGTGGGGACTCTATCTTCCCCTACACACTCTTAAACTAAATTCCCACTTGAAACCTTGTAAGCCAGTCACTTCATGCCTTTATCGTCCCCTCATTTTAGGTAGCCAATGTCTAAGTTGTCCATCCCTATCGACCCTGTATACATACAGAGGGGATAGCATTGATACTTGATGTCACGATTCCTTCCCTCTCTGTTAGTATTTTAGCTACTACCTCCATGAATATAGGTCAAGTTCATAAAAATGTAGCAATTTACTTTCACTTCCTTTATCAAAAATTGTTGTTGTTGTTTTTTATCTTCCTCTAGTCGAGTTCAGCATGACAGAATTTTGCAAGACCAATGACTTATACATTGCAAATGCCTTTTCAGAAAACACAAAAGGTTCCTTACAAGATAGAATACATAAGAATCAAACTGACTACATCTATGGGAAGAGATGTTAGAGAAGCTTAGCATCATCGGGCAAAACAAGACCAGGGGCTAAATGTGGGACAAACCACAATTGTTCCTATGTAAATTCAGGCAGAAGCTGAAGAATATTGAAGCAAATCAAAGAGATTGACAATATGACCTTAACCATATCTCACCTAAATTTAGACACCATTCAAGAATAGATTTGATGCATTAGACACTCATGACTGAAGACCACAAGAGTTGTGACATGACATCAAAAATATCATACACGTACAGAAAGCTTGTATGCCCATCTTCAGCCTATAACTGATTGAAATACCTATAAGGGATTCTAGAACTTGCCCAGTGAAATATGCCTCTTGTGGAGCCTTTGCAATGTATAGGACATTAAGTGGAATCCTGAGTCCTATCCAGAACCTTCTGAGGTGGGACATTCCCACTAGAAAGGACAAGCAGACTAGCTTGGAACAGCTGAGCAACAAAAGATATATCTTCAAAGAAAGATCATCAGGAAAAACCCAAAACCAAAATGGTAGTATGATTGGCTACTACAAGAATAAGCAAGTTCTTCACCAGGAAGCCATCAAGGCAAGCAATCAAGTTCTTTCAGGACAAACCCCCCTCCAAGACTGAAACTGAAAGGGAACACATGTGCAGGCACATAAGCTGGCTGGCGACGTTGGTCTACTGATGAGTGGAAGACGCAGAAAGGCAACAATGACAAAATGGGCTGAGTTCAACCACGTTCCATAGACTCTCGTTGACCTGGAGATGAGAGAGAGAAGAGAAAGGGCTGGTTGGTCCAAAGTGTGGTGAGACCTGGGGACTCCAAAGCCCATGAACAATGACATAGCCATAGAGGTCTAGAGCTGACAGTGAAGCATCCAGCTGATATGAAGTGAGTAGAAATGCACAAGAACACCCAAACTTGTTGATAGTATCCATTTTACCTAGCCTCAATGGCTTGATAATCAGAACTTGACTAGAGGAAGATTTAAAAAAAAAAAAATTTTTTTTTCATAAAGGAAATGAGGGTAAATTGTTACAATTTGATTAAATTGACCTATACTCATGGAGGTAGTAGCTAAAATACCAACATAGAGGGAAGTCTTCACATTGAGTGTCAATCCTAGCCCCTCTTATACAGGGTAGATAGAGACAGGCAACTTAGATATTG